GCGATGTGTGTGCGTTTGGTGAATTTTGAGAAAAATCGGGGAGCATCAAGAAAACGGCGGAGTACTTCTTTAACAGCGTAACACAAAATACTTGACGCCTAGTATGGTATAGTGTTGTGACCGAGCCTTTTCGCAGATGTCTATCTCGGAAATGTGCAAGGTACAGCCGTTTTGTGTGTTCCTCGTCCATAAAAAATATATATATTAGGACTGGTGGTGCTCAACTCTCTCCCCTTATCTTAGTTCCCTCTATTTCTGCACTAAAGGATTGCACCGAATGGCGGTGAAAGCATGAAGCTTTCGAGGGAAAACATGCACATGCATTCGAGATTGACGTGCCGGCAATCTCGGAGGCTATAGGACGCATACCTCCTCACCGCATGGCTGCGCTAGGCACCATGTACCTGGCTGCAGGTTTGCGTCGTGTGCCCAAACGAATGCCTAGGGTAATAACAGCAAGGAGGAAGTCCCATGAAGACAGCCACTTCTTACAAACGTTGGGACATCCTTTTTGGCCTTGTTGCCGCGACGGTGACTGCATCTAACCGAGTTTACCGTAATAATAAAAAAAAAAATAAAAAAGCTGCGTCGATAAATTATGTTCTTCTGCACGCGTGTGACCAAAAATCTAGAAAGATATTCTGCCAGTCATATGGCTTTTGTCTGCCGCCATATTCATCCTGAGGCATAGAGCAGCTGACAGTCAGGAAGAATTGGAAGGGTCTCCTCTCCTACTTGAGAGCCTCAGAGGGGCACCAGTTGACATTTCTTCGAAAGACTTCAGGGATATTTTTTTTTTTTTTCAAATCCCACCAGAGCAACAGACAAACAATTTTCGCAGACATGTAAAGTACGCAACATTTCTTTTTATCCTCGAGGCTGGCAACTACGAGAAAATAATGAGTAAACGACACTGCGGAAACTTTTTGGGCCATCAACAAGTTCATTGTTTTGGCAGCGTTTACAACAAGTCCCTCAAAAGCTTCCGATGATATGCCGCCCAATACACTCTTCCCCATTTTTGTTTTATCTCCGCATAGAGACTAGTTAAACCATTACTAGAATGAGCTACGGTTCATCGCAGTCAGCGTAAGAGGCGTCCTATATACCTCCATCTTGTGCTCCTGTTTGATGATGCGTGAGGAACTATAGGCTGTACACGCGATTGCTTTCGGGCGCCGCTCGTGGTACGAGTCCACGAACCATCAGACATCCATTGGCGGTATTCACGGCCGCGTGTGTCTACTCCCGATCGCAGCAACCATCATTGTTCGAACGAGACCTCCTTCCCTCCGCCTTTGTTACCTCCCGGGCAAGGCATCGTGGAAGGTCGCCGAGGATGTAATTTCAGTGCGTCCATTTTTCCCCGTCGGCGTAGACAAAGGGCGGTCTCAGCTCGCGGTGCCTCAGTTGTGACGGTAGCCCCGCCTTCGCCGTTGTTTTGGGATCAGTGAGTCGACCAGGATGTGACAGCCTCGCTCGAAATGTAACGCACGAGTGATTCAGCTATGACCACTCAGTGCATCCCTGGTGAGCTCTTTCAGGTGTAATTGGATGCAGCGCACAAATAATCATGCTGCGATAAGCTGCTAAGGCGCTCATTGCCGCCGATGCGTGTTGTGCACGCCCATTGTCACTCGTAGCACCAATGAATGGCTCGCGTTTACTCAGTTCAGCCAATGAGAAGGCTGAGCGGTATCTCGCCTCGATGGGTGACGCGCTCTTGGTGGCAAAAACCGTCCATTTCTTCTGTCGGCGAGTTTGCGTACACTCAGCGAAGGAATTACCAGACTATTCTGTAGCCGTTCTCGTAGTAGACTTTTCGCCATTGCACATGCTGAGCTGCGTCTATATAATGCGAGATATCTTGCCCGATCGGGCTTCAAGCTCCAGAGAGTCGTCGAGAGAGCGTTCGTGGCCCCAAGGCTACACTGCCGCACAGAACTGCCGGCGGCGGGTAAAGTGCGCGCACCTTGGCGGCCGGAGGGGCGGGAGATCCTTGTAGACCTCGCGCACGCACGCTGCTTCATCAATATTCCGGGCAACCCGCTCCCGAAGGATCCGGCTCCTCGTCGCCGCGTATGCACTCCTCGATGCCGGGAGTCGCCACAGATCGGGGCTGCTCTCGTCTCAAGGACCGTTAGATCGGGCGACGTCGGCCCACGGACCAGATGGACGAGGCCCCGTAGCGCGGCCGTCGGCCGCTGTCTCCGCCTGGGCGTTGCCCCGAAAAAGAGCTTCGATTGTGCGGCCCGTTTCCATTGTCCTCGGCTGATTGCGTCGCTCGACGGCGTTCGGCCAGTTCTGCGTGCTGGCAGCAGCCTGCGATAGGTCGGCACCGAGAGGCGTGCACACTTGTAAGCCGGCGTCGCTATTTTTTTTTTTTTTTTCTTTTCGCTCGCCCGGAGAAAGCTTGTTTTCCCGTTTTAATCGAGTCGCTAAAAAGAAATAAACATTTAGGCGTTTATTTTTTTATCAATTTCACGAAGAGCCGGTTTAAAACATCTACAAGTTTGATCGACTTTCCTGATCGCGTCCTTCCATCATCGAGAGCGGGCACCGGATGTTTATCGAGCTGCAGTGGTCGTGCATCGAGGATACCCCGAAAGGTGTCTGCGCACCTGTTTCCCCGCAAGGCACGCCATCGGACAATCACGGCGATCCGTGCAACCGCGTTCAACGAATGACGGGGCTTGAACGACGGTCGAAAACTTGATCAGCGCAGGTGCAATGAGCGAGTGAAAGATATCATGCTGAAGTGTCCCTGTAAATGGCCATGCAGGCTTGCTGACTTGCCAAAAGGCGCCTGCGATCGGCTGCCTTCATCCGATCGAAGGAAACCCAGTGACCGTTGTTCCGCGTCCGTCGCGGTTCGATGCAGACGCTCTGAGATTTGGGGGAGTGCCTCCGGCTGCTCGCGTTTTTCAGTTCCGAATGCCCAATGTGTGCATGGCGGTGTACAACCTGTGTATGAGCGATTTAACGTATATTTGAGTAGAGCTCGTTTGTACTCGGCCAGCAAAATACCTGCTGAAGACATCGCGCTTTCGCTTTACACGGGAGCCTTATCGACCCCACAATTCTTTTACGACAACATCATGCTTTCCCTCGAGCGTACTTCGAGTCTTTCCAGTGAAGAACTCTCTCATCTGAAGCACTGTGCGAGCACCATATGTTAACCCGACTCCTTCTGACAGAAAATAAGAAAGAAAGCCATGAACAACAATAGGCCGACTCGTTGCTTGCACACTTGCGCATTTGCCCGCAAGAACTGCGGGCAATGCGCTTGCGCAGAAATCCTTTTTTTTTTTTTTTTTTCAAGAACGAAGCGTCTGCGCATGTTCCGATTTACAGCTACGGCGCCATGGCATTAGCGACGTCGTCAGCATAACAGAGTTTTAGTAGACCGTTCCGATACCTCTGATAACGGTACCCGATAACGATACGACGCATCCGTAAATGCGTCTGCGGAGTATCTGGCATCGGAGCCATCGGAACGGTCAACTAAAACTCCCTATTCGAGAGCAAATTAGTAGATCGTTTCAATGACTCCGATAACGATGCCCGATACTCCACCTTTACACATGTATCGTATCGTTATCGGGTGTATCGGATATCGGAACGATTTACTAGAACTTCGACAGCGTACGCACCATTTCGTACAGTTACGATCACACTTAACTGGAACAAAAGTGTTTACTCGGGGAAAAAGGAAGACGTAATAGGGAGAGTTCGTAGCTCGTTTCCGCTGTCCCGTAACGTTCTCCGGTACCCGCTGCGAGATGCGGGGCTCTGTAGGCAAGGCTAGAGCCGCGCACGCAAAGTAGTGCCGTCTTCGTTCCAAACAGCGCACACTCTAAAAAAAAAAAAATCGGTTTTTACAAGGTTTTTTGACGTCCAAAGGACTCTTTGAAGAACGGTTTCGCCTCAATCACTATCGCCCCCTGGTGCACTGGAACGACATATGGGCGACAAAAAACGCCCTCGTATATATATAAAAAAAAACAAAAAAAAAACCTATAGGTTTTTTATAGGTTTTTCACGAAGGACCCTGTTATCGGGTGCTTATAATAACTTTTTAGGGTGCAAAATATGGACAAGCCGAAGAACCCCTAAAAGTTCTTTTACGACCAGATTTTTTTAGAGTGTAGCGGAAGTGGGAAAACTCTAATCGGGCATATTTAGAAGATGTAGCGCAGTTATGATTGGGCTTCGGTGTTTTTGGGGTGTTTTTTGTCTTTCGGGGTCTAATTTTCTACGTTTTCGGTGGTTTTCGGTGTCAATATTTGGTGTCGGTAAACACATCTGGGTTCCTCGGCGTTTATGTTCGAAACATAGGGCATGGGTATAGGATTCCCCGACCTGCAAGGAGAAAAAGCGTGGCCGTAATGCTCGGAGAACGCCTCCGTACGAATAAGAGAATGAAAAAGAAGCTTAGCAGACAGTTCGGAGTTTCCTTTGTCCGAGTCAACGCAAAATAAAGCTATAATTAAAAGTTTTTGCCCTTGTTTTTTTTTTTTTTTTTTTTTTTTTTTTTTATAGATCGTGAAATTTCACAACGCTTTAATCCCAGATTGCACCGCGCGGCGCTGGGAATTGTGGGACAGTTCCGATGTACGCTCGGGCCGGCTCGTACGCTTCATGCATCCTGGAAGTAGCTCAATTACTTCTTTTTTCCGAGTTCAGAACACAAGGGTAACAGGGCATCACAAAACCCCGCCCCGTGTTGTTAGGCGCCGCGTATTTCCTGAAGGGTCTATTCGCGGAGTGGCACTTTTCCCCGACTTTGATAAAACCGACTTGTTGGTATTTACCGAAAACACGGAACGCAGTTTTGAAAAGAAACAAGTCTACACAAGCGCAAAAGCTTGTATACGAGCAGGCTGAAGAAGACCAAAAGTACGCTAAGAGTATAAGCTTGGGGTTTGCTCGAGTGCTCATAGCGTTGTGGCTGTGTGCACCTGCAGATTGAGCTGATGTGGCTGACGACCTTTGTGCAGGCCCTGGAGCAGGAGAAGCACGCCTTGCGGCGCAAGCTGGACTCGGTGTCCGGCGAGAGCGACGGGCGCCTGTCCGAGCTTCAGGCGGACCTGGCCCAGGCCCGGCAGCAGCTGGCCGAGCAGCAGGCCCTGCTGCGCTCGCTGGACCGTGAGCGGGGCGCCGTCGTGCACGAGATGGCCGACCAGAACCAGCGGCTCGCCCAGGAGCTCAAGGCAGCGCGCAGGGCCGAGGACCAGGCGGCTAGCCAGTACCGCTCGCTCCGGGAGCAGCTGTCGCTGCGCAGGTCCAGCCTCGACGACCACGTGTCCCAGCTGGAGGGACTCCGGGAGGAGGTGAGCACTTGTCCCTGGGGGCGCCGCCATATTGCTGCCGATGGTCTCTTGTGGAGCGTCCGATAAAGCAGAGGCTGTGGCGCGGAGGCCTGCCCACGGTTGGCCCCAGCAACGCGTCTTCCACTCACGGGACCCAGACTAGCGTTTGAAGCGTGGCTGCGTGCTTGTAGAACTATATAAACGGCAAACCTATATATATATATATATATAACGACTGGAAGCGGTTGAAGCGGCTGATGTCCCGCCAAGGTACTTGACTTTTTCAAATCCAGAAGAAGCGAAGTCGCTTGGCGCAACGTCGGCTGCCACTCTGAGTCTTCCAGCAGATCCCTTCTCAATTAATTCTTCGTACCGACTTCATGCGCACTTTCCTGTTAACTTTTTTTTTTACTTGGTACATTTACCCTACTTATTTATCTTGAATATGTTTTTGGTCTGCAGTGCTAACGCAGGAACAGACATGCAGGGGTTACTTAAATATATGTGTGAACACCCGTATTGGCTGTAAACCTGCAACCGAAAGAGTGGTTTTGGTGAAGGCAAGCATGAGACGTTTATTTGTTATTCTTCGCATCTCGATTAGATATTGACGTAATTCCCAGTGCTCATAATGTATACGAGACATCCGTTCGATTAGACCCACGCGCTAACCGCTCCAGAAAATGCGGGGGAAACGTGTTTTTTTCGCCGGCTGATGCTTCCAGTATTCATTAGACCAACGTGGCTTTCTTGACAATGCTCAGGGCGTCGATAAATAAGGATAGGCCCCGAATTGAAGTTTTTAACAAATTATAAAGTTTTTTCGACGATTAATACATTAATTGATCAAACGGTAGGTTAATCGATTACTTTCGCAGTCCTATACTGGGCAGTTCAAAACGTGCAAGAGCAGTGGCTCCTATACCACATATATATTTTATTACGTGCTGGAATATACATTTCTCTAGCTTTGTTTTCGTTTTTTTAATAATCCGGCCTTCGTGACCTCGTTTACGGAAACTTGGGGTCGTTTCGATTGCGCGAATGTCAGCAAGGATGCTGCCTTCCCACGAAATGCTGTCAACGTCAAAGAGCTCAAACGTCAATCAGTTTTTTTTTTCTCTCACAAGCATAACTAAAAGCTGAAACTGCGAAAGGCGAATGAAGACATGTGGAAGAAGAACACGTGGAAGGAGCGACGGTGTATCCTTATTTCTGCGTCTTCCTCGATCTTCCACATAGTTTTGCTTACGTTTGCCATTGACCGGCTTGACTGCGCACTTTTATTTATTTAGCTTTGAGTGATTGGTGCGCATAAATATATTTGCGTGACCCAGAAAGACTGTGTCTTGACAGCCAAAGATCGCGAACTTGGGTCTTCTCTCTTGTTGCGTGCGGTCCGGTCGACATGGCGTCGCCATCAGTTCCTCATATACTGGTTCATCTTGTATAGGTTGCTCTTAGCAGTATCGTTGCAAGCCATCGTGAGGTCCAGTGGACGTCGCGTTGTCATAAAGAGGGGCCAAAAAGATATCCCCTCCGTTTCTTTATGGTTCCCATCGCGACCGCCTCAGCATTGTTGGATTCCATCGCGTGCGAAAGGACCTGACCTCAGCGGTGGCAGCGGCGGTCCGCACGTTCTGTCGCTGGACAATGCACGAGGGCTGATTACGCCGAGATCTTGTCGCGAAATGGTAAACAACCTCGACGCGGATTGCTGGGTGGCTCGTGTCTACGGCGCATGCGCCAGGCATACCGGCTGTGAGGGTTGACCATTTGCCATTCTAGAGATAATTGGCCACGTCAGTCATGTAGCGTGACTGACGTGGAAAATGTGCTTAAGATATTGTCCCGCGAAAACTCCAATTTAAATCGCTTCACTGCTCGCGGAGTCGGGACAGTATGGTTTCCTTCACGAACGGGTACTCTTTTTTTTTTTTTTATCTCTCTATATTTGCCTATTTTGTACACGACTGTGAACTCAAGTCGCTAAAAAGCTTCGGGTGCTATAGTGTGTTGCTCCCATCAGTTGACTCAGTGAACCGTCCTGTGGGATTCACTCAATTTGGGGCTTGAGAAATAATTTCCAAATCGTCAGTTCATTTGCATGGTTAGACACGTTAGTAAAGTATCCGAATAACCATTATCGGCCGCCGTTTTATAGGGGTTCCAGGATACTTTTTCTGGACGTATATATAGGTCGCCAGACTTCAGCCACCTGAGAGGCGGTTGAAAGCGTCCGAAATCCCGCGCCATATTTTCCGTTTAGCGTTTCTGCGGGCGGGCACACACCCCGGCCGCACGCTGCGGCGGGGAGAGCGCGGAGACAGACAGTCACGCTTGGCGGCCCACGTAATACGTGATTGTCGGAGCGCGGTGCAAAATGCCCTATTCCCCCGGGTGGCGGAATGGGCCCGCTCTTGTTCTCGGGGCGGCGGCCATTGCCCCTCAGCCCAATTAGTCGCGACGTCCGTACTCGCCGCGGTGTCGGAGACCGGGAGAGGTACAAGGAGCCCTGACAATGGGCCTCGTCCCGCAGATCACGCTGCTGTCGGACCGCAAGGCGGAGCTGGAGCGCCGGATCTCCGCCCTGGTGGACGAGCGGGAAAGCCTGAGCTTGTCCCTGGAGGAGTCCGGGGACAGGATCCTGCTGCTCGAGAAGCAGCGCCACGACTACGAGGCCCAGGTATACCAGACACCCTCGGAATCGCTCCACTCAACTCCCCAAAAATGCTTGGAGCGCCTGGATTGCAGTGTGTAAATGCGGGTGTCACAAAGGGAACTTTCCCCGAGAAAACAAATTACGTCGTGAGATTTATTTTGAGGGACGACTGATTCATAATCTTGCCCTCATTTCGGCGTCTTGAAATAAGGGCCTCAAAAAGAAGCCCGTCGCGATCCTCTAAATGAGGCTCTGTGCCTAAATATTGCGAAAAAAAACTTCTTGTTCGGGGAAAGCGCTTTTGGTGCTACACATGTTCAGTCCAGGTGTTTATACAGCAAATATATATATATATATATATATATGATTTTTTTTTTAAGCTTTGCAGGTTCGTTTACACAAAGCCGTGGAAGCTACACTTATGTGGCTTGTGCAGGTGAGTTATACGGACAGGGGGACATAGTATAGCGGGATAATCATATCGATCAGTCGGCTAATTAAGTATAAGTTGTTAATTGACTTCGTAGTTATTGAAAATAAACTTATGGTTCCAAAAGACTATACGCGAAATGCACACCGCCATCTAGTGGGGCGCCGAAGAACATGCTCCGTCTCACCAGTTGCTTTCGGCGCTGGCAAAGGCCAGGGCGCGAAAGCGTAGTTCCGAAGAATCCTTCACTCGCACAAGCCCTCGTGCAGAGAAAGCGCTTTCGAAAACCAGGCACCAGCGTCCGTGCCTTTGCCGGCGCTCAAAGCCAAATTTCGAGCTGAAGTGTACTTCCGCCATGTTGGTTGCGACGAGAAACCAGCAACCGGCGGGGCGACGAGCACACGTACGTGCGTAAGAAGAGCGTAAAACTATACTAACCTTACGCTCGCAGGTGGGGGTGACAACCGATGACGGTGAGCGGTAGGCCTCGATTGTTCCGACAGAGGTACAAGATTGACAAACAGCAGAATAATCTCAACGCTACAAAGATGGCAGCCCACAGGTGTGGCCAGACGTTCGAGCCATTTCGCATATCGTCTAGTGGAAACTTGCTTCGTGTCATCAAAAACCGCTAAACGAGTCTTTTTAGGAACATGTAACACTAGGCGGCATTTTACGGCGTTCTGTAAAAACGCTCCATTTGGACGCGTTTCTAGGTTTCGGTTTCCTATCGGAGCGCATCTTTTCGCCCGCGGTCCTGCTCCCCGGTGGTCGCGGCGCAAAAACACCCGCTCCCTCGTTGAATGGGGGGAAGTCCCAGCCATGGGGACCAGGAACGCGGGAGCAGATATGCGCTCCGGTAAGAACCCGAAACGCGTCCGAATGACGCGTTTTTACTGAAGGCCAAAAATATGCTTCCCCCGCGTTGTCTTTGTAAAAATAATTGATTTAGTGGGTTTCGATGACGCTCAGCAAGTTCTTATTTAACTAATTAAACGATTAATTATTGAATTTTACTTAATTAACCGACTGATCGGTACGACTGGCTCCCTGTACTATGTCCCCCTGGATTACTCACCTGCACAAACCGCACAAGTGTAGCTTTCACGATTTTTTTTTAAAACAAATCTGTAAAGCTGGAAAACAAAACAAAACAAAACAAAAAAAACACCTTGTATATAGTATACATATATTTCGTCAGATCAGTATTGTTTTAAAGATCTTACGCTAGTAAGCGGAGGTATACCAGGCGCAACTTAAGGACAGATTGACTTACCGCTATAAAGGCGCGTTCACACTGGCGACAGTGACAGTCGGCGAGAGCGACTAGCGACATGCGACCACCGACCATCGACGTTCAAACTGCGGGCGATCGGCGAGTCGCTACTGGCGTGGCGAGTCGTCTCTCGGCAGCTTTCGGGAGCAGCCGTAGATTCCGTCCTCCCCGCCACAGCTCGGGTTCGCGTTTCGCTGCTTTTCATTTTCGTTGTCTCACAGCTGCACTTGCGTCGGCGTTGCTATATAAAAGGGCTCGTTATCTTGACCTGGGTTCTTGGGAACCGGACAAAGAAAGCACAGTCGCTACATCGGTGTGCACTCGCTCGAGCTTCCGCGCGTCGCATATATGTTGTAAGGTATACCTGTCAACAAGTGGCACGGATTTGCTGTCAGGCCGAGTTCTTTTTCGGGTGCTCGTACAGATACAGATACAGAGACCTCCGTGACTCTGTATCCACGGCCGCTACCGCGAATCGAGTCCCCCGAGGCGTTGAACGGACGGACATGTTGGTTGCTTCTCCCACAGAAGTTCGGCGCGTCCGATGTAAACATACGCGAGGCGCAACCAAGTCGCTTCCGAGGAGCCACTGATTGGTTCAGCCGCCAGGCGACTCGGGGACATGTCGCAAAATTCGGTCTGGAAGCGACTGCTCCCAACCTGTCGACTTGCGACCTTCGCTTTTGCGACAGCTGCGACTTGCTGGTGTGAACGCGCCTTAACTCTATACAACTGGCGTTTTGGGCATCGACTATATGATGCAAATAAGGAGACACACCTGTTGCGTCGCCCATCAAGCAGATGCCATCGCTTGACTTCGTGTTTCTGTAAACAGGACCGTCCCGAGACATCAGAAAGACCGATAGGTTTCTCAGATCGTGCCTCTCAGTGCGTACAATGGCTCATCCTTCTTTTAAAGTGTTCCTTCTGGACCGAGTGACAATAGCTTTCATTTGTTCCTTATGACTCATTCCCGTCAAAAATCTGTTCCACGCGTAGAACCGATCGTCACGCGGTGGGTTCGCACCACTGACCACACTTCGGCAGTGGTCGAGCCACGGCGAAGCTGTCAGTGAAATCCCTAGATTTTAATTCAACAGCTCGTCTGCGCACCGCACTACATCGCGGTATGCGTTTGCGAATTCCCATGGCAACTAATCGCAGCCATCTCGACGCAAGTCCCCCGACGTCAGTGCCTTCTTAACCTTTCGCTTTGAAGCCAGCCGTCACTCGAGCTATTACGAGACGCTCCCCGGGCTCAGCGTACGGCGCAGCTTGCGTACGGGCGTGCATTGAAGCCAGGCGTCGTGGCAGATCCGCAACCAGCAGCGGGACATGGAGGAGCTGCGGGTGGCCAACGTGCAGCTGCAGGAGCGGCTGGACGCGGCGCAGCGGCTGCGCTCCTCGTCGCCGCTGCCGGGCCACAGTCTGGGACACCGGTCGCTCTTCAACGAGATCGAGATGTCGTCCAGCTCGTCGGCCGACGACGACGCCGCCAGCACGGTACTTGTACACACCCTCTTCTTTCGGCACGATGGGTCTCATCTCTTATCGCAAAATGAGATTTAAATTCTAACATGATTTTTTTTTCTTTTAATAGGGGTGAGAGACGAGTTTTGTCTTCACCGTGTATATATCAATCTCGGCGGACATTAGATGAGGGGATAATTTTCATGTTGAGTTGACCAATTAACTAAAATCTCTTGATTAACTTTTGAAATGTTGGTTTTAGGGGTCATATTGAAATTGCAGTATCGACGGCAATTCCTATTGGAGGCAGGACCAATTTAAAGCATTTGCGTGAAGATAATCGTCTCAGAGATATTACTCGATTAATTTTAGCGTTTTCTTCCCGACTTAAAAAGTTGCGCCCAAAAGACTCGACGCTCTTTTTTTAGCGCATTACGAGAAAACGCGAGAAATACTAAATTAGTATCTCTACTCTCCTGTTTACTTCTTGTCCTTGTCTTTTATATTGCGCTATTTTATATGTTTAACAGCGCTTGTCGTGTTTACTTCTTGTCCTTGTCTCTTTTTTTTTGCGCTACTTTATATGTCTAACTAAGATGAACCAACTAGCCCAACAACGTATACCCTACAAAAACCATTCATTTTCGCTAATTCTTTAGACTGGTCTAGCCTGTAATAGTAATTGCCGTCAACACTACAATTCCAATACCACCCCTAAGACCAATTATTGGAAAGTGAAATAAGATATTATAGGTAATTAGTCTCCTTACCGTTACGATTATCTCCTCATCTGATGTTCCCAGAGCCTCATAGATACGTCGTCAAGACAGAAAACGTCTAACTACCTCGCCCTATAAAAAAGAAGAAAAAAAAATCTGTCTGCATGAAAATGTCAAGAAGAAAAGTAAGCTCTTTTCGCTAACAAACTGCCAGCCACGACAAACGTCAGGAAATGAAAGGGGGAAAAAACACACAAAAAACGTACGAGTTAGCTAAAGAATTATCTAAAATATACTAAATACTTTTTTTTTTAATTAGTGAAATAAATAGGTGGTTGCTATTGGAAACTTGCTGAGCGTTATCCAAAATTCCTACTTGGAAGCATGTCGGAAGTGCGGGGGTGAATTCCCGCTCGTGCAGCAGGCACAAGGCTGACGACGCGAAAATGCGCATGATATTCTTATCGCGTCTTCTCAAACACCCTATTCTTAGGGATGGTAGAACGTTTTCGTAGAAACACCCGGTATAGAGGCGGTGTAAATTTTTTTGCAACTTTATCTAAAAAAACGTGAAAGATGCAATGATGCGGTTTGTTTATGTGAGTTATACGGTCAGGGGGATATAACATAGGGGGCTAATCCTCTAGATAAGTCGTATAATTAACGACATTATCCTAATTAACTTTTTTTTAAGCTCGCAAAAATAAACATAGTTCCAATGTACCTTTTCGGGATTTTCTTTTTTTGTAATGAATTTGTTAAAATCAGGACGTCACAGCCAATACGCGGGTCAAGATATACCCATGTAATGTTTGGAAAAGCAGGGGACGGAGCCCTTCCCTCTTTCCACATTGGCGTAACAAAGGCTGGAATCCGCTCTACCTTCTCTCCAGCATTCGCTCTGCTAACGTGGAAAGAGGAAGGGACTCCTGCTGGTCCTCGAGTTACGACGGACGCGGAACAGCGACGAATATCTCACGTCGGGGCTCGCTCTGTGCATGGCGTCAGAACAGTGGCCCGGCGTTTCAAAGTGAACGTGCCGCCGGGCCAGGTTCACAGCGGTGCTGACGATAGAGGTCCCTGCAGCGCCTTTGTTTACGTGCTTGCAACTTGCAAGTGCAGTCTCGCAATATGGAGGCCTTATTTTGTAGAGGGAGAATAGAAGAAAGCTTAGTTTATGTCCTCGTTCCCATTCGCTAGGCCTCATCGAATGCATGGATCCTTCGCGTTGCTTCCCGTGTTGGCGTGTGTCGATAGAGCCTCGCCTCGCTAACCCCCGGTTGCCGGACTGGTGCCACAACACGGGCGAGGGGCGGGTCCTTGGATCAGTCGGAGCGCGCGCGAATCCGACTGCGGCGGTGACCCTGCTCCTGTTCGTGACCGTCTGCAGCCAGGCGCACTGAGGAGCGCCGACGGAGGGGAAAAGAGCAGCGTGTGTCTCCCCCTCGCCGTATCACGGCCCTCCGTGCATGAGTCAGGCCGCAGCACTTCTCGGCGTGGCCTACGAATCATTCCCGACTGATACGGTGGGGTCGCGCCGCGCACTTGCGGCGAGCGCTTTCTGCAGCGCAGTCGAGCGAGTCGGCAGCTCTCTGACCAAACACGGCCACTCGGCGTGCTCTAGCCGCTGTCCTATCGCGCAACTGGAGCTCGCTGGACACCCGCAGCCGAGCATGTTATTCATCCACTTTTGACTCAACAACACGGAGGTAGACTGCGCAGGTTAGCGCCAACACCACATCGACGATTATTTTATTTTATTTTAAAGGGGTTTGTTGGGCACCAAATGGGGGCAAGTTAGGTTAGAGGCCTATGAGAATACTTTACATAGTAGTTTTAATGGCAGCCTTCAAATTTTAAGAGAAACATAGGAAAAACGAGCGATTGAATTGCTCCAGCCAACAGTGTCGCGCAGTGCATATAGAAAGGCTAACCGACCGCCATTTTTATCCTACTTTAATCCAGCAAAACGGGAGACGTCGTAACGCGCGAAACGTTTCCCAATTTTCTTCTGAAATAAAGCAAAAAAAAAAAAAAAAATTCGGCAGAGAAACTGAATTAAGACTGTTTGCGTGTAGGAATTCTAAAGCTTTGCTACACGCAGCGCATTCCTACAAGAAGCGCGCCACCACGTCCTCCTTTATCACACGGCGCGGCGGCGGTGACATCACGCTTCTCCACTGCGCAGGCGCGGCACCCCCTCCGGCTCCACGGCTTCCGTGACGATGCATCTGCGTTGCTGCGCTTTTCTTTGTGTTTTTCTTTTTTTTTCTGAGGCGCGTCCGCATTGACCTTGATCGCCCGGCCGGCTTCCGTGACGGAGTATCTGACATGACGCGTCGCAGCCAATGGGAACTGCGCTTGTGGGTGCCGTTTTTCTGCTACAGAGGGTTACAGACAACGCCGGCCTCGCTCCATGGGACCAGTTACTGCTTTCGCATTAATACGTGCGCGCGCGTGTGTTGCGTGCTGTCACGGGATACCTCCACAGTTTTCCTCTCAAGAGATTTTAAAAAAAGCGGGAAAAAATAAATGAGAGGAGTGGAACTGTTTACTGAGTTCACCGAATTTCCGGTGTATAAAAATAATAAACAAAGCCCCCCCCCCCCCCCCCCCCTTAACACCGCTCCTTGAAACGTCAATGTAGCATTTAGCTACCAATCCTCGCGCGAGGTCTGTTCAAAATTTTCGAATATTCGTGTAAATCAACTTGTCTCCTCCAAGACGTTAAATCGTACCGCCGAAGGCCCTCGCTATATCTCCAACTTTGTTTTCCGTGTGGAATCTATGTCTTCTATAAATGCTATGGAAATGCTATATGTACAAAACTTGAAAGTATAAAACAGTGAGGACGAGGACGGAAACGGGACATCTTTCATTTAGCAACAACATAGAATTGCACAACAATAAAACCGCCCCCCAAGGGTCTCAACGTTCTCAAAGAGGGAAAGGAGATAATTGTTATAAAGGAAAGGGAATGTACCGTAAATATAAAAGTTTAAAAAGCGCTGGCGTCACGACGACGTATCACTAATCTAGTTATCTCCGATTACTTAGAATTCGACTTTTGTCATTGTCAATGATATTGAAGGTGCAGAAATGTAGTTGTTTCCAGTCCCCATGGCAAATGATTCAATGATTTCTCTTCTAAATCTGTTGTTGTGCCCGCCCAGTATTCTACTATCGGAAAAATAAGGAGTACAGTCATCGCACGTGCGGCTGTGAACGACAATTGGGTGATACGACTCATTTGAAGCCTTTGATGCTTCCAAGTTGTGTTCTCTGAGTCGATGGTTGATGCATCTCCCAGTCTGTCCAATGTATTGTCTGCCGCAGCTTAGTGGAATTGAATAAACCTTTCTTTCTTCGCATTCTACGAACTTTTTGGCATGCTTTACATTGCACCCTCTGGGACTGTCGCTCCCATTAACCTTTTTACACATCTGTTTTAGGCGCATACGACAGGAAAAAAACAATACCCTTGTCGAACTTGGACGCGATAGATCTTAAACGGTGCGCGGAATTTATTCGTGTAGCTGTAGGGAATCACAGGGAAACGACCTTTCTTTTTGGAAACAGCTTGGGGAAGTTGTGGTTTGAGAATGAACCTCTCAAGGGTGGAACGAAGTAGGTCAGCAGCTTTATAACAATTATCCCCTTTCCCTCTTTGAGAACGTTGAAACCTTTGGAGGGAGGTTTTATCGTTGTGCCATTCTATGATGTTGCTAAATGAAAGATGTCCTGTTTCCGTCCTCGTCCTCGCTGTTTTATGCTTTCAAGTTTTGTATCTATTAACCAACACCTCGTTTTCAATTGTAAATGCTATATGATGGGCCGAACATTTGCTAAATCGAAAATTCGGTGCCAAATTTTGGGATTCGGCAAAGCCGATGTTTTGCGGAACTTTTCGAAGATTCAGGAAAAAATACATTGTTGCAAGACTTGAAAGTCGATACAATGTTAAAATAAAGACAGTTACACTGTGCTCTTATGTTCCCTGGGAGTCACCGTTTCGTGCGCGAAAACGAATGCAACGACTTGGAGCCTTCACCAAAAGAGATGACAGTATTGTTGTAAATGTGCACGTCTTTCGATTTGAGTCAGGTGACGCCAGCTTTGCATTAAAGTGATCGTCCCATATTCGGAACGTCTAGTTTTTAACTTTTAAAATGCCGGTTTCTGATGGTAGGGCGTTCAGGAAGATGGGAAGAGCTAGGAGTGGTCGGATGTGCAACGTCGAGCATGACAGTTCTGTGTTTAGTTTTATAGGCGGACAGATGAAAACCGCGAAATAACGCTAATTAAAAACCAATA